ACAGTGACTACACTGTCATAGGTGTTATGGGTGTATTCTGAGTAGAGCTGGGGATTCAGGTGAAACGGGTTCCACTGCGTCATGAGTGGGAGTTTCTCCCAGTAAGGAGCGCTGTAAATTGTTTTGGGAGTTCAGGTTCAAGTCTGTACGTTGGAATTTAGAGGCAGCACAAAGATCTCTCATCTCTAATCACAGACTCCAAAAGTTATTGAAGTCCCTAAGTGGGACTTCATAGACTGTAATCAACCATTAATTGCCAGTAATCACAGATGTATGTGGGCGTCCATGGTGAAAATAAGATTTTTCACGCTATGTTAAACATGCTCAAACAGCAGCTTCACTGTAACTTCAGAAGTTATATCAGCAACTGTCCTTTTCAAAAAGGAAAAAAAAATACTTTTATCATAAAGAGAGATGAGAGCTGAATGAAATCAAAGCCAATTTGCTAAAATGACAGGGTTTCTTGTCTTTATTCTTTCTTTTTTCTGCTTTTGCCAGTTTCTAAATATTTTCTGTTTTCTTTTTGATTACTGTTTATCTCCCTAGATCTCCTGCTCCTTACATTTCCAACATCACAAGAGGCTATCTGCCTCTAAAAACTGTTATCTTTGTGTCTCATATATTCTGTTTCCCCCTCACAACAATACTGTGTATACAATATATAATGTTTTTGGGTTTTTTTTGGTTGAGTGCCCTTCATCTTTCTGTCTCATTATAGCTGTCTCGCCCATCATTTTTCTGTTTTTCTTCCTCGTCCTTGCCCAGTTTAGCCCTACATATGCTTTTTGGGTTACATATTGTGTAATTTAGTTCATCTGCTGTGTGCAGTGACCCTGAGCTCACACACAGTCTGCTTTAGTATACTATGACTAACACATCCAGGTCTGCCCCCCTCCTGGAGCAGAGGCAGTTTTACTTTATGAGGCAAAACTAAGTAACAGCCGACACAGGAAACAGCAACACTGTTCTGGAAAACAGAAGGGAAATTTGTGCCATAACCAGTGTTGGTCAGTTACTTGAAAATAGTAATTAGTTACTAATTACTTCTCCAAGAAAGTAATCCTGTTACTTTACTGATTACTTATTTTCAAAAGTAATTACTTCATGACTTTGTTACTTTTTAAAAACATGATACACAACCTGAATACTTAATAAAGCAATAGATCCTTCACCCCATGCTATTTTTTCTGCATATTTCATGATTTAAAATGAATTACCGTAATTGTCGGGCTATAAGCCGCTACTTTTTGCACAAGCTTTGAACCCTGCGGCTTTTAGTCAGGTGCGGCTTTT